GTTCATCTTGTATTAAACAAAGACTTTGAATTGTATCAATCCTCATGTTTCAAGTGGCCTCACGACAAAGGCTAGTCCAATTTCACACATATTTGAAACATTTGATTATAGGACATTTTTCAAAGTGCACTCATACTCACAAGAATGTTCAATGTACACAACTGTGATACCATTTGCTTGACCCTTATGTAAATCTCCACTAATGTGAGAACATTTGGAATGAGATCATGTAGGGCTTGTAATTGGCTTGTAACGTAGGCTTAGGGATGGGTAGGATATTTATTTGAGATAAAAGTGATTGAATTCCTCCTTGAGCGTCCCACAGAATTTGTGCTCTTAATGATTGGTACGCCTTTGGCGTCAGATCCTCTTCATTGTTCTCCCATCTTTCATCTTCTTTTGAATTCTCATTTTTAACATTTTTCTCTCTTTTTTTTCTTTTTTTTTTTTTGTTTTTTTAAGTCCTTATTCATGGGAGCTTTTCTTTACTCAGTTCTTTATTATAATAATTTTCCCTTTTTTGTTGGAATATTTTCCTTCCCACCTTTCACTGATCCTGTAAAGGAATTTTTTGCCTGTAAAGTTTTTTTAAGTTTAGGTGGTGGTATGGGACGCTATCTAGACATTGCACGATTAGGCTTTGAAGATGTTAGTGAGTGATCCCTAGTCTTCTTCAAGACCACTATGTGAATGTCCTCTAAATAATGAATTTGATGACTTAAGTAAAGATATGTTAATTAAAAAGGTATCTATCTAGGGTAGCTTTGAGGATTGTCTAGGTAGGCTTGGAGAGGGTGTATGGATGTTCTCTTCTTGTCTTACTTAGGTGAGTCTTAGAGTAATTCTAGGTAGGGTGTTTGATTAATAAAATGGGAATAATCTTATTTTAGGTAGTCTAAAGAATCTCTTTGGTGTGTGTGAAGGGATATATGAGCAATCGCTTCATAACTCACCCTAGTGAGCTTTAGAATCATCTTTGATATGAGGGTCTCATGTTATATGTTTTGATTTGTTCTTAATGTTCCTTTGTGATATGTGGCTTATATGTGAAGTTGGTGTGATATGTGGTTCTTATATATTAGGATATGAAGTTTTACTCAAAAAGATCATATTTGATACAAATGTCTGTTTCTCATGATTTTATACATTATGTCATACTTAGTATGTGTGTTTATACTAATTTCATACTTTTTGTCTATCTCTAAAGGTGTGGCTAGCAGGTGAGAGGTGTTTTGAAGCAAGCTTGGAATCTATTAACTGTTCAAGCAAAGTTGAAGTATGTCCTCACTTGACTCGAGGGTATAACTATCTTTAGACTTCTTTTATTTCAAGTATGGTAATAGACTAAGTAATTCTATATTTCGTATTGTATGGGACATGTTCCAAGTATTCTTGAGTCTAAGATTGACATACGTTGAGACTTAGTATTTTCCTATGGTTTTATATGAAAGATGTTTTAAGATATTTCATGTGAAAGTTTTAATTCCGTATTATTTTTCGTACATGTATGCAATGAATGATGTTTAAGTGCTTGTACAATACCTTCCAAAAGTTCAAGTACACTGTGTATCGACTCAAGAGTTTCATAACTTCTAGGGGTACTTTGGGTCGTTACACCTCTAGGTTGTTTGTGGTCTTGTGAGCACTTATAAACCTTGCCACCACTCTCTGCCATGTCAGCCCACCCTGAATTGCAGGTCAGTTCTGGGATGATGAGAACTAATCTTCTTATGCCCCTTACACTTATCAAACTGATGTACCTCCCATACTTATTATAGTTAAGAGCACCAAAGATCTCAAATATATCATCTATTTTCCTCCACATACGGACTGAGTCCCCTTTAGTTTGGGAAGCCTCCTTAAGAACTATTACTATCCATTCCATGGATCCTTTGTTGAAAGTTGTCCTCGTGACTGCTTTCCTGCTTCTCTCTGTCCACTTGAACCATATACCAGAGGTTCCTAATATCCTTTCTATATCGAACAATTTGAAACCAACCGCAAATAAATGATGTTATCCATATCGATTGAAAATAAACTTCCTAGATCTTGTGTTTACTCCTCTTGATTGAATGTTAAGGCAAAAGAAGAAAAGAAAAGAAGAGAAACCCTATGAATAAGAAGATAGATGGAGAAAGGGGAAGAAAATTGGTGGTTCTCAGGTGACCTACCGGAAAAAGTGTTTCTCTCCTAGGAATTGTGTCTGAGAGCATTTTTGTATGACAACAAAAGATTAATAATTTTTGCATGTATTTGTTGTTTTTTTTTTGTTGAGAAACGGTAAACAAGCTTGCCTGTTTTTGTTTTATGACATGCTTGCTCACACTTAGTGCAATCTTAGTGATATATAAAAACAATTTAGCTCTATTGGGAGATTGTCTAACTGATAATCATTACTATGAGTTACGTGATGATACAACGTCTTGTCCACGTTGTCAGAACTATTTTATACCTTGTCGGGTATAAAACACCTCAACTAAGTGGATCCACTAAGTTATGCTTAAAAGCAATAAGGAATCATCTAAAAAGTATGATAACTTTCTTATGACGGCATACATGGTTTATGAGGATTTTGAATTGTCTGAACTCATCCCCATATCGATGCTCAATACTAAAATTCACTGCACCATTTTCCGAGGCCTCCCTTGCATAAGATGAATTTTATTTTTAGGTTTTTTTTATCAGTTATTTTTGTTAATATTTATCCATTACTAATACAGTTATTATGCATATCATTGGCGTTAGACAGTCCATATTATTGTTCTATTTTGTTGTTTGTATATATTTCAAGTCTATTATACTTGTGCAATATTTTTATTTCCTTTTTAATTAAAAAAATGAGTTTAGTCGGGACACATATTTGTTAATTCTAAAAGGTAGTACTATCTTTTCTTCGGAATTACTTGAACCCTTATTTAGAATATATTGATTCATAGATCATTTTAATTAATTAATTAATTTCCTAATTATCTAAAATTAGATGGAAACTCCTAAATAGTTTTTAAAGTTCTTTTTAAACTAATTAAAGTGATTATATGATTATGGGTCAGCACAACATTGCGCCTTATTTGAAAAAAAATAGGATTGTCAACATAATGAACTATTTTTATAAATAAGGTGCAATGTCATGTAGACTAAAAAAATCAATGATTCAATTTAATTTAGTTTGAAAAGATTTTTTTAGGAAATCATTACGAATTGCCACCTAATTTTAAGATAACTAGAAAATAAATTAATCAATTAACCAAAATGATGTACGAAATCAATAAATTCTATGTAAGGGTTCAATGATTCTGAAAGGAAGCTATTAGCACCCTTCAAAATACACAATTGTGGGTCTCGATTGATCATTCTTTTTAAATTGAAGAGGAGATAAAATTGATGTACAAGTATAATAAACAAAAACTAACTATAAATGATAAAGTAAAACATTAATATGAGAAATGGCCTAGTGTTTACCTATCATCAAATATATACACAAGAATAAATCAAAAAATATTACTGGAACTTCATTCAAATTCCCCATTAAGTAATTTTGAGTACTACAAAGACACTTAGTAAAAGTATTAGTAATAGATAATACTAATCAAAAGAAATAAAATAAGTAATAACTCAAAAATAAAGCCCGTCTAATGAAGACAGGAGGCCTTAAAAATCAATAAAAAAATTATCGGCTAATTTTAACTTGTAACCTTTATAATGAAAAAATTAGTAAATTAGTAAAAAAAAAATAACATATTTAGTAAAAATATTCATACTTTATAAATATTAGCAATAATATCAAAAATGTTATTATTTTAAAAAAAATTATGTGTTCCAATTTTCCTCCTATTTTATCTCTTTTTTTCAATTAATTCTATATCCTTTTTAAAAAAAAAAAACATTTTCTCATATTTATCTTTTCAAATTGTTAGTTCTATCTCCCCATTTAATTTTTTTTTTCTTTCTTCATGTTTATCTTTTCTGATTTTCCTCCAACATTCAAGTTGCAAACATTTTTCTGTCATGTATTTTGGTTGTTTTTTTAATCCAAAATTGTATCAACAAGAATCCCTTTGATTAAGGTATCTCTAATCTTTATCTTATTTTCATATTTCTTTTCTAATTTTGTTTTTGTTTAAATCTTAAAAAAATGTTGTTTGTATTTTTCAATTTCCGTTATGATTTACTTTCCAATGGCTGGATCCAAGAGGCTTACTAGAGGTATTCATCTTAATCAACCAAAATTCTGGTGATTTTTCATCCTTTAATTTATTTATTACTTAACAAATAGTGTATAATGTATGATCCGCTACTAAAATGAGGGAAGAAAGCGGGTAAGAACATTTACAAGACTCATTGGTGTGCAAAACCTTCCTCAAATTGAAAACGCAAATGTAGAATCTTTATCTACTCGTGAAGATCTTGAAAAAGACGATGAAGATCGAATAGTTGTCGAACAATTTTCTATTAGTTTGTTTTGTATTTATAGTTCTTTTTTAGAATTTGGTATGCTTTCTCAATTTGTATTCAAATCACTACGTATACTATCAATATTTGTATTTATTAAAAAATTCATGTTGCATGGTTTATGAATCTTGTATATGTCTCTAATTTGTATTCATCCAAATCTATGTCAACTAGTTATGTATTTTATTTATAAGAAGAACTTTCTATTAGCTTATTTGTATTCGAATAGAAATACAAATAATAGACATATTGAAATGAATACGACTTAGAAAATGAAACAAGATTTTAAAAATAAAAATAAATACACAACGAAAAAATATACAAAAATAAATGTATTTTAAATAGCTACATTTTATTTGATATATATATACATATATATATACATAATATAATATATATATATATATATATATATATATATATATTGGAGTGAATACAAACTAATAAAGAAATACAAGCTTCATTATACAAAAGACAACATAAAAACTAGAATGGATACTAATACAAACGGTATACATATTGGAATAAATACTTTAAGAAAGGATACAAAATTTCAAAAAATAAAACAAATACACTGTGAGACAGTATGCCAAATACAGATAAAACTATAGATGTTCAAGTTTCTAAATTAAAAAAATTTAAATTTAATAGATAAAACTATAATGTATTATTATAAAATTTCATAATAATAATTAGTGAGAATGAGATATTTTTTTATTATGATTTTCATAACAATAATTAGTGAAAATTAAGATTGAAATTTTATAGATGTGGTACTTTATTAATCTCGTGATTTTTCTAACAATAATTAGTGAAAATTGGATATTTATTTTGATTAATAAAAGTGTTTAGAAGCAAAAAAAAGATTAAGAAAATTGGATATTGAATTTTTTTAGAACAATAGAGAAAAAAAGGGTTTTGTATAACATGATGGAAAAAAAAAGATGAAAGCTGGTATATTTCGATAAATTGTAACTTATGAGACTTTTAACATTTGTTCCTTTTAAAAAAATAATTATCTCCCCGAAATTTCTCTAAATTTGTTATATAAAAATTATACTTTTTAAAAATAAAACAAATAATAAGAACATAAATAAGATAAATAACAAACTTAAATTTTGATATTTTTACTAAATATTGAAAGTGTTGTTAATGAACCCTTTTAATGTTAAAATATTGATATTTTAAAAAAAATCTCATTTATAATGTCCATGAACTTAAAAGGGATTTTTTTTTTCATTGACCAAAAATATGATAATTGCTTATAATTAATTTGATATGAATATAAAGGCAAACATGTTTTCGGCCAGAGCTACATCCTCTCAGCCAGATCTGAAATAAGATAAAAGACTACTTGAAATGCAAATAAAATAGAGGAAAAAAGAGCAAAAACAATAATAATAAAAAAGCATTTATTTTAATCAGATTTAAAAGTGAGAGCTCGTTACCATTTCAGGAGATGTCGTCGATGGTGTTAGTTTACTTCGTTGTTGTGTGCTGATTTGCTTTGATTTGTGGTCAAATCTGATTCGCTTCTTTGAGCTCGCCGATTCTTCGGAGTTCGTGGCTTCTTATTGCTGGTGTGTTGGAGAAAGAAGAGAAAGAAATGAGTTGTTTGGTTGTTGTTTGTGGTGGTTTCACCGGAGCGAAGTGGGGATGAGATTGTTTGATGGTTGTCTTAGTGTGGTTCTCTATCGGTGGATGGTGGTGGCACTTTAAGATTAATAGGAGGAGAGAAAGATTAGGGTTCTACCCAATTTAGAAATTAGTCCTAAAAACATAAAGACGATCCACCACCCCTTATTTTGAGACCAAGTAAAAGGATTATATAAATAATTTAGAATTACTTTTTTCTATAAAATTATAAATAATTAAATATCGGTTATACAATTCTTTATTTATATTTCCATGTATTTTATTTATATTTCCAGGTATTTTAGAATGCGTTAAAAATATTAAAACAAAAAAGACCTTTGCCTAGGAAGCACGCATGTCGATCAACACATGTGTGCTTCTCGCCTCTTATACATAGTACTAAATATGTGATTCGTAATTAGCACACATTCACTAGTACTATTTACTTTATCTAAATTTATGTGGTACAAATAAAAAGTGTCATCAAATTTTAATATGATTTTAAAAATATTTTAATTATTAATAATGTAATTTATTATACTTTTTATGGGATTTTCAAGTAATGTGTATCCCTCCATGATAGAATTTTGGACTCAATCATCTATTTATCTTTTAAAGAAATTCAGCAATTAATTATTGTAATTACAATTTATTTTTTCTAATGTAATTTCAAATGAAATATGTTACTCTCTTTGTACTTTTATGTTATTTTCAAATAATAAATATTACTTCGTCTGTTCCATTATCTCCTCTCCCAAGCCTGATGAATGGAAAATGACGCTCTATTATATGTGGAATCAATAAAAATATTCGAATTCAACAAAATTTTTTGTATATTTTTGAAGTATTCTAAATTATTAATTGTCGCTATTTAAAATAGCTTATGCAATTTTAAATATGTAAAAGTAAAAGACAAAAAATAAAACACAAATTAAAACAAAGAAACACCACAAAAAATTACTGAACTACTTTTAAAGTACCAAAGCAAGCATGTCAATTTTTTTTCTGCTTTGGTACTCGAAAGTCGAAGCGTTGTGATGACAAGCAATCATGACAATGAAACAAAGGTGAAGCAAAGTTGAAGCACATCAACTGTCTCTTATTTTCGAATTATATATGCTACTTCCTCAATCCCATTTTATCTGGTATAGATAGAATTTTCTGAGTCTGTCAATGTTAACCTTCTTATGTCAACAACAGACCAGCTTATATATACAATCATACACATACAGTATAGGTTTGCCTTGACCATTATCATGATTACACCAAGAAATGTTTTGCTTACAAAAGCAAGTATTTATGCAAATTACACAAAATTCAATCCTCAAGAATCTAATCTATTAGTAGGAAAAAAAAAGATAATTACCACACAAACTGAATGAACAACTTGAAAATTACAAACAAGGGGCAAGGGATCGTACATGTATAAATACAAATACTTATGCTGGATTCTGGAGATTTCAAGCTTCTATGAAACTAGGAGTTGAATCTCATTCTTACAACTATAGAGTTTTAACTTCTGCACACTAGTCATCATTCACTTACCCCTTAAATCGGACAACGATGCATGAGATATCATCTTTACTTTCTCTAGTTAACGCTTCGATGGCTAATTGCTTGGATGCCTTCTGTGGGTCCTTAACCTTCTTCGCGATGTCAACTGCCTCTTGATTAGACATTACCTGAAATATCACCAATTATCAATTAGAGAATGAAAGGAGTGCAATAAGGGAAAGACAGCAACTGAATATTGGAGCAAAGGGCACCTTCCATAGGCCATCACTTGCAAGGATGAGAAGATCTGTATCTCCATCAACATCAATGGTTGTTACATCAGGATCAGAGCGCAAGTGTGATTTCAGGTTCTTGTCTCCAAAAGCGCGAGATACAGCTAGTTGACCATTCACTCTAGCAACATCTCCTGAGATAATAGGCATTTTAACACAGATGTAGAAACATATTCCAAAATACAGTAATATTACGTAAAGTGCCACGTCTAGATCACATCTGCATAGTTTGGCACACTGAGGACAGCAGCGTAAATTCTAAATCTACATAAGAACAGGTCTGTTTGGTGCAAGAAGACCCTCGAATTCTTGCAAGGAAAAAGATTCTTCTATGTAACTTTTTCCCATCAAATTTATTTTTTTCTCTAAATAAATGAAGGTTGATTCCATGGTGAGGTACGAATAGCCAACAACAGATCTAACACAGACACCCTATACATAGAATGTCGGACCGCCAATCAACAAAAACCTAAAGAGTGTCTGTATAATTGTTAACTCAAGAGGTCAATAAAAATATTATGAACTAGCACATCTTTACAGCATGTTGTTTATAAAGCTGTCAACTCCAACTAAATTAAGAATGACATGAAAACATGTGCTTGTGAGGATTTTAATGCATAAAATTCAATTTATCCTAGTTAAACTCATAAAACAATCACATAAATATTTAACAAAGCAGTGTTCCAAGTTCCCCAATACTACTAGTTCCTATTGCTTCTAGAAACTGCTAGTGGAGTCCATCCAACAAGATAACTTGACCTAATTAGGGGTTTCATTAATGGGTTTGTAACCATAGAATCAGTTGTAAGTGAATATGTCAGTTGATTTTTCATGTTTACACCATGAGATAGCGTCTGGCTTGTGGGAGGAAATTATGAGATGGTTTGTACTTCAGTTGTGATGTCCAACACTGTAAAAGAAACAATGTTTAGTTGGATATATAGAAGAAGAAAGAGAAGATGCATGACACATGATGTTGCTCCGCTAGCACTTGTGTGGACCATATGGAAACAGAGAATAAGAGAGTTTTTGATGGGGTAGAGAAGGACTACACAATTAAGGCATGTCCTCGTATCCTTTATTGCTTTTGGTGCACTCGTGAGGTTCCTATATGTATACAAGATTGGGCATTGTTTGTAGGAAAGCGCATCTCTTTGCAAGGCTTTTTCTTTTTGATATACTACTTGTCTATGGATGCTTTTTGTCCATGATGTATAGGTTTTTTAGCTTTTTGAAACTAAAAAAAAAAAAAGCTCTACTTACAACAAAAATTTCGAGTTGGTTATATGAATCCTCATTGGTCATGTTGCTTTATTTAAACTCATATCAGACCAACATTAAACAAAATAAGTTCTCTACATTTTCTAACTATGTATAAATCTCTGGCAGCTAATGGACTCCTAAAATTATAGGACCAAAAAAGTAAATGACTAAAGCATAACCCCAACTAAAAATCCTTACAAGTTCGACAAAGTTAAACACTTCTCTTTTCCATAAGATAACAATAACACCAAGATGTATTAGACTCTTTGTCCACTGGCCCCAGAGATGTGGAACAAATCATCACATCATATAGTCAGGTGAGAGAAGTTGAACTAAATCTCACAATATCTATTAGAATCAAGAACATATAATATACTGATAACTGAATAATGGGTCACTTACCAACAGACAATAAAATAGTGCCTTTTCCATTGTTAATGATAATTGAAGAAGGGAATATGATGTAAGATGAGAAAATGATGGAATGAAGAAAATGCAGTACTTAAATTATTATGTTACTTATTTAAATGGTCATCCAATTAATGGGGGGAAAAGCAATATTATTTGGTGAAAGAAAATACTAATTCAAGTAAATCTTACTCACTTGGCATACGGTTATTAAAGAAAAAAGGAAGACTTTGCAAGTGTTCGTACCGCATCATCTTTCCGGCACTGGAAGATGCTTTTTCTGGATGAAATGAATTTCTAAGGAGGTCGGTCAAGTTGAAGGAATTCGAAAGTGACTTTGATGACCATTTAAGTAATTAACTCGCAATTGATTATGTCTTCCGTTCTCAATTTGGTTAGAAGATAAACTAAATAGAGGAAAAACTAATACTACATTAATAGTAATAAGCCATCGCATGTGGATAAGCACCTGGCATTTTTGTGACAAAGCCACCTTTGTTCTCAATGCTTCCCCGCTCTGTGTGTGGTTCATGATCAATGCTCATTTGTATCGCCTTCCCCCTCTTTGAAAGCACTGCTCTGGAATCTCCAACATTTGCTATCCATAGCTTTCGCCCATTTATAAGTATTGCAGTCACTGCAGTCGACCCTCCTTGTCCTAGATCAGGATTATGTGAGAGAATAGCCTGATCTGTTCTCTCGTAAGCTTGTAAGATTGAGCTATGAGGGTCGGTCCAAAAATCCTCCTGGAAAATTCAAATCTATATGGTAAGAGTAACTAAAAGCAACACCACCCCCATCCAAAAATAACTACATGCAGATGAAAAAGAAATAAAATTGTCCAAGATTAGGTACATCATGCATTTGATATTAAATGGAATTCCCAAGACTGGTTAATGATGTGCATTAGGATTTGGCACTCCAAGACAATTGTTATATCCTTTCAAAAGATCAGAATGTAATTTGGCCTTATACCCGTATAGCTGATTCAATCAACATCTCTACTATAACAGTCATTCGATCTCTAAAAAGTATTAGAGCTTCTATTTTTAGAGATTAACGGAACACCTATTTGGAATGACAAGTCTGACCTAATGCTCAGCTAAAACACCAGTAACATTGCATGACCAAACCAACATCCGCCTGGTTACAAATAGGAGGATGGAGGAGCATGACAATCTTACCAAAGATATGATTCAATAAAATGGACACTGGGTAAATATTTTTTGCCATCAAATAAAGGCTTGATAGAAGAAACAAAAAATCCAAGAATCTGTCACAAGCAGTTACATGTGCTGAGAAAGTCTCCAAATCCAGAAATCATCACCTCTTTTAAGATATTGGAGAACAAATGTTTCTGTAAATAGGCAGCCACATTGTCTCCTGAATGCCCATCATAAATAGCAAAAAGTCCTAGTTCCCCTTTGCGCAACTGCATGAATTTAGCAACATGATAATCCTCCATTGGATGATTTGCTTTCCCCTTAACCAGGGTGAACCCATACTTGGCAGGCCCTTGATGGCTTCTTCCTTTGCCACCTGATGACCGTCCTCCTGCAAGCTAATGGATAAAAGAAACTTCAGCTGAGGGTTGATATATGTCTATACAAAGTGGTCGCGCCAGAAACCAAGAACTGAGACCAAAATAACAAAAAGTTAATGTTTTACAGAACAACAGATATCCTATCGATATTAAGTCAACAATTCTAAAAAACCATGCATTCAAATTTCAAGAAAGTACCAACAGAAGATACACTATGTATGAAACATCAACAGTATCACTGTAAGAGAGGGGATGTAAAGGATAATAAACATAACAACCTTGAATAAAAATGATATCCTCCCTCAACCATTTTGTATGATTATCGTTTTCAAACTAGTTCAATTTACCCAATAGTTTTGAGAACTTATTTAGACTAAAGACTACATTATTAACTTTAATTATAATAAAGGTTATTTAACAAGTTGTTCATTGGAAAATTTAAACCAGACTAAAATCATATGATTAACCTTCAAAACGACAGGTTCTGTCCTACAAATTAGAAACAGTGAGCAGGATGCCACTCTATCTTCATTAGAAATACTAGGGATTCATTGTAGATCAATATATACTGACCCACGATTTCATGGAGTGAGTGTTGTTAACAAAATATATATGCAAGCAGGAGCCAACCAGGGTTAAAGCTAGAAATTTAAAAGGTTAGGTCAGGAGGCAATGAAGAAGGAAAACCCACCTGCTTAAGATTTAAAGGTTTAAAGGAAGTATATGTTAAAGCTGGGCGAAGCAACATCTGCTCGATCCTAACATGGCTTGGTTCCCACAGCAAACAGCAAAAGGTAGTAAACAATTTGAAAGAGAACAACCTTAAACCAAATTACTCCACCCTGTAATTCTCGGGCTTCAGAATCATTACAACAAAGTAATCCATAATAGCAACAACGAATAGCAAGAGATCATCCTAGACTATAGAAACCAAAGGAGATCAATGGCTTTCGCCGAGGACAAATATTGATTGCATCAAATAATCATCATTTCTACTGTCCCCATTCTAAGGTAAAACCAAATATAATCCTTGATAAATCTTGTTTTTTCTTATTTTTGATAACCTTAGTGCCAGGACCAGCTCGTTTGCACCTCAACCACCTCCCACCTACAACACTAGAACAAATTTTTAGGTAACAATGTCCAATAACTCTAGAACAAATTGGAGAAAAATGATCAAGTGTTTTAATCTCGGGTAGGATTTGAACTTGAAACCTCGTGATGTTCAACCCACTTAATTGACCACTAGCACCACACCCTTGGGTGCAAGGTTCGATAAATGATCTTAGATAATCTTGTTATTCCTCGAAGAAAAAAACAATCAACCCACATAATTAAGCTAAGCCATAAAAAAATCAAAATTTAGTAGTCAAGTAATTAAAAAACATCATGAAAAGAAGTCAACAAGAGAATTATTAAAAAGTAGGCATGAAAGTGAATAAGAGAAGAAATAGTGATTAAGGGCTGACCTGAGAATTAGCAGAACTGAAGCAGCATAAGTTATCCATAAAAAGTAACTACTCCTCTACTAATTAACATCAATTTTATATAATCCCTAAAACAGACAACCTTGCCTGTACAAATAGAGAATCTTGATCATCATCAAAACAATCAATTTTACAAATTCATCATCAAAAAAATTTAAAAAGAAGAATCGACTTACAGTATTACCAAAGTGTTCAATGATATGGGTATGCGTACCAGTTGACTTTTCTGTTGATTAAACAGACAAAGTGTTTATATGGAGGTTGTGTTTTCGTCGTTGAAGAACAAGGTCTTCGATTCCCTTCGGTTTGGGTATGTCTTTCCCAAATTTGACTTTGTCTTCTACTATCTTTATTTATTGCTTTTTTCTTTTTCTATTACTATTCATACAATTTAAAAATTTGACTAAATTCAAATTTCGTATATCATTCATTTGAAAATAAAATTTTCTCAATATTTAAATTCAAACTAAAGCTCAACAGAATAAAACCATTTTACAATCACCCCATATATTTATTGTTGTTGTAATGTAATGTAATATTACATCCTCCAGCAATATACGCTTTTAATTTGGTCATGTACTTCAACCATCTTGAAATTTCTTTTAAGAAAGTTATTTGAAAATAACTTTTAAATTTAGAAACACCTAAAAACTTTTTTTTTCTTTCTTCTCAAATTTAATTCTATATTTTTTAAACATAAAAATGACTCCGTTTAAATTATAGGGGAAAAGTACACCAAACAACCATACATTATTTATAAAAATTGTAATCAAACTCAAATCTAACTTTAAAAATTTCAAATAAAATGAAAAAAAAATGTTTATAATAGTTTGTTTGTAGTAGCTCGTATATGAAGCTTAATTTAAGATATTATGAGATTATCGTTTTCAGACATTATCCTTTTTGAGTAAATTTAAAAGTATATTTCAAGTAAATTAAAGTTGAATCTAAATCATATTTTTCAAAAAAAAATTAAATATTAAAATATTATTTGTAAAAAAATTGATCAAACACAACTTCTAACTCCATTTTAAAAAATTTCAAAGAAAATTAAAAATATTTGTCTTTCATGACCAAATGCCCATTTCATTCTTTTAATTCATACGTATAATTAATTCCTTATAATCATCTAATTTTCGTAATCCACTTTATCAACTAATTCAGCATGCGTTATCGTCATGTGATAAGGGGGTTTATTAAACTTACAAGTTATTATTTCGAATCAACATTAAGACATTTGAGTTAAATTTCAAATCCCCTAAAATTAGGGTTTCAATTTTAAATTTGTGATTTTACTATTTAAAAATAAATCAGATTTGACTAATAAGTTTATATTTTGTAGAAAAAATTATAATTTTAAATTTTACCCAAAAAAAATCATGCTCGATGTGAAGAAATTAGTTATTTCATGTGAGAAAATTACACATTATATTAAAGAATGACTAATTGTTATGATATTTGATTTATTGAATTAGTGAATCTTGTAAAATTTGATATATATAAAAATTCATAATAGTATGTACTTGCAAGCATTTATTTATAAATGAATATGGAGATACATAATTTATTAATGTCATAGGATATTTTGATAACTTATTTAAGAACTATGAGTTGTTCATATGGAAAGATGGTATAAGAGTTTGATAAGTTTTGATAATTATTACAGTTTATAAAATTTTTATGTTTATGACAAAAAGTATAACTTTTGAATTCTAAATTACATATCCAAATAAATTCCAAACAAACGGGCCCTTAATTTTTTTTAATTCCAAGGGACAAATTCAAAATCTTTTATGAGATTGTTTGATAATAAATGGAGAGATCATTTTGTAGAATTTTAACTAATCATGATATTGAGTTGAGCTAAAATTAATTTTACTGATTAACAATTAACATTAAAGAACAAGGTCCCTTTAATTATATGTCGTAATAAATTTTAACCTATGTAATATTGTTTCAACAATTTTTTGGTAGATGGATTTGTGTTCACAAAGATTAAATTTGTGAAAATTAAACACTTTCAAGAAGAAAAGACGTGTGAAGTAGAACTTGTTTAAGAAAATCAAGTCTTGTTAGGATTGATTTTGAAGCAACATTTATGGGTATATTTAGACCCATCTTTCCATAGATAAAAAATATTTATGTTATAATTGGTACTCATATTGTTCTTTGCGCAATTGCTGAGATTTTTTCACCCCAAATAGTAATCACAATGAAAAATAAAGAAAAAGAAGAAGGTAATTTCAACTACACAACTAAATAGCTTGGTAATAGGATAATGATTTTAGTTCTTTAGTTGTTAAGTCATGAACTTTCTTTTCTTACTAATTTATTTATTATTTACAAGCAAATAAAATGAGTTATAAGAGTGTGTTTGGTATGAAGGAAAATGTTTTCTAATTTTCTCATGTTTGGTTGGAGCAAAAGTTTTGCAAAATGTTTTTCGAATCAACTTATTTTCCTCAAAATTAAGGAAAATTACTTCCTTTCAAAAATTAGGGAAAACATTTTTCAAAGCTCTCCTCCAATTTCAAATTACATTTTTTTTATGGAAAAAACATCAATTTTTTTTAAAAAAATCAATTTTCAAAATTTGATTTTTTCACCCGATCCCTGACCACCCTCCCCCTAACCCCCCCTCCTCAAAAAATTAATTTTTCTTTTTAAAAATATGTTCAACTTAAATTTTTATTTTTAAACTCCTACCTCCGCCTGGCCAGCCCCCTACCCCTCCCCCCCCCCCCACCCCCACCTCCAACCCCCAAAAAAATTAATTTTGCTTTTTAAAAATACTATCAACTTCAAATTTTTATTTTTTCACTCCTACCCACTCCCTCTGCCCCCACCCCCACTATCCCCCCACACCCCCACCACCATTACCCAAAAAAATTTATAAAAAAATATTTTCAGTTTTATAAATTATTTTCTACTCTAGTAAAATAAAAGATATTCCTCAAAAACATTTTTCATTCATAAATTAAACACTAAAAATCATTTCCAGAAAATATTTTCTACGCACCAACCAAACATGAGAAAATATGTCCAAAATCTACTTGTTTTCCAGGAAAATATTTTCCTTCATACCAAACACACCCTGCACTAAATTGTTGTAAGCATACATGTTGATATCATTAGCTAAAGACTCTTCTATAAGTACTAGATGTCTAATGTCTATGTTGCGCATGGATCCAATATACTATCTGAATTAATTTTTAAATGTTAGGATGAAAATTACAGAGATGTGAAAGAAAATTATGAACTTATTTCTTGTGTTGGTAAATGTGGCAATCAGACATTATCAAGCTAAACATGTAAATTTTCTAAAGGAACATTGAAGAAAAATCTAATCAAACAACTATACTACTTAACTAGTATACCGTGATGCAAAATATACTTCAATTTTGTTTAGATGCAATTTAAAATCTGATAGATGTGTTTGTTAACCCAAAACGGGGCCTTACTCCAGTACATTATTTCCTCCATCCAGACGTCTCTCCATTATTTGGCTTTTATATATATGGAACAAAAAAAGTTACACTGTGAGTACGTATACTTGTATAAATGACTGACATATATCGTTGGACCAAATTTTAGTGAAACCAACAGGTTCAACGAGAAAATGGCTTTGATAATTGCAGGAATACTTCCCCAAAAATTTCAAAGAGTAAAATTGCTTATTTGAAGCTATAATTTTATATGCTCAAAGCCAAAACGTGAAGAAATTCTCTTTCCATAAACTCTAAAAGATTATACATGTAGCACCTTGACATTAATAAAACACATGGAACTATACATACATATCAACATAAAATATTACATATCCGGTATAATTCCACTTGTGTATATAGTGAGGCTAAGATGTGCATAAACCAATGGGTCTGAGGAGGATAATATGTATGTAAACCTAAATCCTAACTCAATGGGTAAATATATTGTTTTTGATAGACTGTAAAATAAGTTTCTATCATCAAGAGATTGATGTACGTATACCTGTATTATATCAAAGGATAGCAAGAACAGATTCTTACTAAATTACTGTGAAACAGTGAAATCACAATAGTTTGTCAATCATAACTTCTCAGATAAATTATAAATTCTAGATAATTTTCTTACACATTCATTACAACAGTCATAAAGAAACCAGTGAATACATGTGTTGTGAAATATGAACAATGATATTCATCTAATAGTTATATCGTTCAGTTGAATTCATTATTGTTTTCCTAAACCGATGGTATATCATTTGAGACTTTGAGGGACGAGTACATGTATATAAATAGAGAAGACGACAATTTTCTATATTTAAACTTTACTTGAATGAAGGTCTAGAACAGAAAAGAAAAAGGGTGAAGAATAGTAAACAGATTGCTCAAAAAACGGAATACAAATAGAATGAAAACTAAAAGAAAAAGACGGGAAACTTTAATTAAATTATGAGATTTACGATGAATATTCATATAAACACCAAAATATGGTACATAGTTCATGTTGAAATATATCATGAAGCGCTTTCAAAGTTCCAAATCTTCAAAAAAAAAATTACACCATCAAAATCACATCATGCACTATAAATAGCTCCATAGGAAACCATACTATAAATGGCAGCCCTGAATAAAATAAACATAGTAGCAAGTCAAACATCGTCAGGCTAATGCATGAAAAATGACGCGGTAATCACAAAATCATTTTTCAGCTCACATGAATTGAGTAAATTTATCGTTTAAAGGCCAAATAGACTGTTTCTTGCTGTTTAGTAGCAGTGAACAACAAATAAGTGCAATAAGCAAATATTGATCAAGTGAGAGTTGAGAGCTTAGTATTCATACTGTCATTTTGGCCGTAATTTCAAATATCATGAACTTATATAAACTAAATATAGAAGAAAAATATAAATTTTTTCAGTAAAATTTAGGATTTTTTAAATATAAATTATGTCATTATAGCCCTAATTTCGATTCTTCTCAATCTAAGACGGATTTTTTTTCTTCAACTAAATCTAAAAATAAGATGAAAAAATTGAAACAAAAAGACAATTGAGTTTAAAATAAAGTTTAAAATATATGGGTTAGAAATGGTTATAAAAGATTTTATTTTTATTTCAAAGATGCAGCAACAACAATGTTGAAAATATGATTGGAACTTCTTCTCCACATGTAGTAGCACAAAATTCTTTATTTTCATCAAATTTGTTGCAAATTGATTTGAAACTACTTGAGTCTATATCTAACCTCATTGAAACATTAGATCATAGAACCATCGAATCTTTGAACCATTAGCTCTGGTTACCACTTGTTGAGCCATAGGATTGTTAAATCATGTGCTCTGATACCACTTG